TATTTTAAAATATAAAATATATTAAAATTAATTTAATATTTAATAATTTTGCGCCACTTTTAAATTCTCGTTCTAAAATTCTAATATAATCGTTTGTAACACAAACAGGAATAAAGCTTAGGTAATTCGTATTTTATCCATATATACTCTTCTAGGAGCTTTTGCGAAAAGTCTTAATAAAATTACGATTATTAATAAATGTTTAAGAGAGTAGATCCTCTATGGTGAGAAAAAAATTGGTATCAAAATTAATATATCATATAATTACATCCATCTATCATGCCTTGTTTTACTATTCTGCAAATCTAATGTATGCAATTAATTACTATTTTTTATTTTAAATAATACATACAACGTGTTTGATGCAACACAAATACATTGTAAAAGCAAAAAAATCGTTTTCTTATATACCATATATATAAATTATAAAATGAATTGGTAATATATAAATTCGTTCATACAAATTAAATTAAGCCACTTCAAACACGATCATACACGTCCGCACCAACTCCGAGTTTTTGAAATTTTTATTGCTCAAATGCGATTGTAAAAATGTATAATATTGTGGGCATTTGTCAATTTTTGAAAATAAAAAAATTTTTACAGATTACCCAAATCTAGCAATGGGTACAATGTTACAACTGCCACAACAAGAACAACAGCAAAGCGAACAACAGGAACAACAAGTCGAGTTAGAAGAGAACCGACAGCAGTTCAAACAACTACAACAAGTTGAAAAACCTGCACAGCAACCACAACGTCCTACAAATCTGCCATTACCTTTTCTATTGCCGAACACAACTCTACCTAAAGGCACTGAAATGCTAACAGATTCTGCCAATACGATTTTAAGTCCTACATCTAAATATCAGTCACAACTAGATATTCCAACAGAAGTTCCTAAAACTAAACATATTAAACTAGAAACAGAAGAGTCCGTGTTACAACGAGACAACACTACAACGAATATAAATTTTAAAACTAAGCCTACAACAATAATGGGACCAACAAATTTCGAACGTTTAGTACCCAACTATAAGCCACCGATATTACACGATTTTAAACTGGCAAGTTCACATAAAGCGCCATTAAAAATTTTGCCAATTGGTAACAATTCTACAAATATTTTCGAAACAACAACAAATACCGAAATTAAAACAAATCGTAAAACTCCTACCGTTTTAAGTAAACCCAAATACGCATGTTTCTTAAAAAATGACTTAGAAGAATCAAAATCTTCTTTCGTCACACGTACACGTAGCAATGAATTTTGTAATAACTCCAGTGGCAACAGCATAAATACTACAACATCTGCTACATTTACTACACCTAATAAATTAGTACGAAATATCGGTACTACAAATATGGTAAAACAGAGATGTGCCTCATTCTCTTTCGGTAATCAAACCAGTTGCCAAGATACAAATACAAAGAGTTTAAAAATCTATAAATTACCGTCTATTGACTCTGCTATAACTATTTCTACTAATACAAATACTACTATTTCTACTACTATTAGCACTACTTCTACTGCCACTAATGCAACTCTTTCTTCAGCAACTTGCACAAGCAACTCAGCTTTTAATTCGAATAATTCTAATTATTCTACTACTTCTACTGCACCTCTAACCATGTCAAATGCATCTTGTACTCTACTGCGTTCGCGAATTCCCGGAAATACCCTGTATTTTGTTTAAATATATAAATGTAATTATATGTTTCACCTTGTGATATGTTAAGTGAATAATTATATTGATATATATATATGTGTACATAATTATTACACGTAAAAGCTTGATTCGTATGTAGTTAGAAATAATTTAATTGTAATATTAAATAACAAGGTTAAGGGTATTATAGACTTTTAGAGCTTGTGGTTAAGTAGTATTGGTTTTGTTATTATTTTCATATCGATAAAATGGTATACTAACATTTTACTAACTCAGTAGTTTTTATTCCTCTCCTAAGAACCCTAAATACTGTTTTCAATGAAAATGAAAAAAAATATATTTTATTGAACAATATTAAATAATCATAATTTTTGTTTAAAAAAAAATCTATTTTATGTAATGATTCATATAATCCGAAATATTCTACTACAATCAATTAAAAATTCGTTATCTTGTGAACAGATATATAAAAAATAAAATATATTATTAAAAGCTATTGTAGTATTCCTGAAAAAGTGTCCGAGTATTACCTGGACGATATTTATGCTCTACATAATCTTTCAAAAAATTTTCTTTCAAATTTTCAAAGCTGTTACGGTTTAATAAAGGTACTCGTTTCTTGACAGTTCCAGAGCACAAGCAGATAAAGTAGATGAGAATATATCACTCTAAATTTAACACATTCTTCTTATTTTATTTGAAGAATCTACTATGCTGATCTTGCTATCAGTGATGTATGTGTAATGCTAATTGATATTTAACGATTAAGATCAATGAATTGACAGAATTGATTGATCTAAACAATTTTGATTCAATTAAAAAAACCGTGTTCAATTAGTTAGAAAATAAATAAAAAAAATGCTACTCGAGGTTAACACAGCTTTTAGAAACTCCATATTTGGCATTAAATAAATATTACTTTGTCAAACGAAATACTTACAGCTTCTACTAAATCTGTATCAGTGAATCGATGATATTCCAAGCCCTATCCTGTACTTTTGCAACGACTTCTGATGTTTATATTAGTTTTTGGACATCCTTTATGTGGATGATTAATAATAACTCTGCCCACTTCTGAATTATTTTCTCGTAGGACATTTATACCATTGTCAGTGAACAACTCAATGCAATCGGTAGTAATTAAAATTATAATTGGTATGTAATAATGGAAATATTGAATCTATATGCTCATCTCTGTTACTGAAATGGACTAAAAAATGTCCATTTTAATAAGCATATAGTATACGCAGTAATGCCTAGGTTGGGTTAGGTTAGAGTGAAGATCTTGTACATCAAAGTCCACTTAAACTCAAATAATAAGTCATTGGGATACCACGGACAGTAATGATTTACTAATAAATAAATTATAAATAACTTTATAATAATATTGTTTAATTGTAGCGTTTTATTATTTATTACTGCAATTTTTTTTGCAGTCTTACCAAAAATGATACAAATAATCCGTAAAATATGTTTCAAGGTTTATGCGGATAATAGAGATTAGAGATTACAATTAAAATTGTGTTTGTACATTGAGGTGTCCAGATTAACGCTATGAGCAAACTAACGCGCAGCCTCATTATCGATAACAAAGTATATAAGACTTATATCGATTATAACATAGGGTTGTATTTAATTTTTGTATTGAAGTTTTCAATTGAAAACGGATCGAAGACGTTTTGAGAACAAGAAGACATACCTATAGGCCAATGTATTCAAATGTATAAAGGTTTTCGGAAAAATTAACCAAATGTCATCAAAGAAATGGGTATGCGCCCATGGTCCCGCACAATCGATTGAAAATACTATGGTCTTATCATAGCTACTAAATAAATATTTATCATAATTTGATTTCTTTTTTTTTTTTGGTTTTCAAAATGTAGATTTTTTTCTTAAATAAGGAACCACAAATTTGTAGGCAAAAT